GGGATGTCTATTTTGGCTGACAATGTTAGAGAAAATGATAGTTTTGTTTTTACAAAGAAATTTTAAGTGAGGGTTGCTGAAAAAGTTTAACCGAGAAATCCACCGCCAGCTTTCTTCATCGCTCCCTTCTTCATCGCTGCACCTGCAGCGCCTGCTTTGAAACCCTTTGCCGCAGCAAAACCCTTGCCGAATTTGCCTCCCTTTGCACCTATTTAATTTTTGTTTAAATTTTTACATAAAATGTTTGAAATCACTTACCACCAGCTGCTGCAAATCCTGCCTTGCCTGCCTTCTTTCCCTTCTTGAAACCGGCAGCACCTAAAGTTAAAAAGCAGAAAATTAGGCACAATTTGCTTTTAAACACTGCTTTTCAGCCGCAACTTACCTCCTGCTTTCATGAAAGCGCCCTTTTTGGCAGCTCCACCAGCTTGATATTAAAAATAAGTATTTAAAAATAAATAATTTTGCTGCAAAAAGCATCACTCACCAGCGCCACCAGCAGCAAAAGCACCTCCAGCCTTTGAAAACTTGAATCCCTTAGCATGTCCAAACATTTTCACAAGTCCAAACTTTTTGTCAAACCCTGCTGCTGAAACCTTGCCAAACTTGGCTCCTTTGAAGCCTTTTTTGAATCCTTTAGCGGCAGCCGCACCACCTGCTACTTTTCCGCCTTTCTACATTAAGTCAACAAAATAAGTTATTTTGAACATAAATTAAATAACTTACCTTAAAGCCAGCTGCTCCAGCAGCTGCTCCTGCTGCAAATCCACCCTTCTTTGCTCCTTTGGCAAATCCGGCACCTTAAGATAATAAAAACATTTTTTTCAGAAATTGCAGTTGTGCAAATTTAATGCGACTCATACCGAAGGCGCCACCCTTGGCTGCTGCTGCGCCGGCACCTCCTTTTGCCGCTTTAGCTGCGGCAATACCCCCACCGGCGACAAGTGCTCCTGCCTTCTTAGTCTCAGCAACTTGCAGATCATCATCAATGGCTGAAGTGGATGAGATGAACAGGACACAACAACAGAGAAACACAAGCGTCAAACTGTTCCGCATTTTTGTTGAGGAAAGAT